CCTCAGGTTTATGTTCCATAAACTATTTTCAATATATATTGATAAAATCTTAGTCAACACTTGCAGCACACACAGACAAAAAGAAAATTATAAAACATCCATAAAACAGTTTCTTATAAAACATCCATAAAAAAAATGCAGCTATTCGGAAAAAAACCCAACGAAAGTCAAGTTATGCTGGAGATGATTGTGGAGGTGGTATATACTAAAAAGTTAGTATTTATAAAAAAAAAAAAAAAGGAAATTTCTATCAGGGCGAGAGTCATCCAAAGAGCAGTCTCTCTAAAGCGCTATATTAAGCAATATAAATGAAATGTGCTATTAACCTTTCTAACTTTATTTAATTTATTCAAGATACCATGAAGACATATTTAGTTATGAAGCAAATAATTGCCATTGCATTATTTAATTTTGCATTTATTTTAAATACCAAAATTCCTTTTATCAATATAATTTTGCATCTGTAACCACATGCACAGAAAGTTAAAAAAGTGAAGAGGAAAAAAGCAAAATACAAGAATGGTGAATTAAAAAATTGGTTCACATATTTAAGGGATTGGAGAAATGTGAACTTATAATAACATAATAACTTCCCCTTACAGCAATATTTCCACTAGGATCTGTTCCCAGTTCCCTGAAGAAAATGCTTAATAATGTGCAACAAGTTAATCATTTTATTCATAAACAAACCAGGATACAGTAATTATAACCAGTAGCACTAATACTATAAAAATAAAGAAAAGCATTTACTATATACTCAAATGATTTTTAATTATAACAGTTAGAAGTTTTATTTATAATAAAGCACAACTGACCCCCTATTATATAAAGCGTTTTTTCATATTAGATTTTTTTTATTTGTTTATCCCAGTTTAGCATCTATATTCTTCCAGCAGTAAAGCCTCATTCAAACATTTGGTCTATTAAGAAAACTGGATTTTGTTCCATTATTCTTTGCTCTGATCTTCCCAGTATAAAACAATAAGCTTTTTGCAGGACCCTCAAGAAAAAAATAAAAATGCATATTCAATATTTAAAACTGTGGGCATTTTATAATAAAAGAAAAACGTTATTAACATTAATTATTAAGAATACAGCAATGCAGGGCAGATAAAGGTACCTCTTGAGGAGGTTCAGGGATTGCTGCAGGAGTGATGGGTCTCTTCACTCCGCGCTGTTGCTCCTTCTCTTTCTCCTTTTCCTTCTCCTTCCCGCTGTCCTGCTCTTTCTCTGCCTGCGTCATGGCTTCTTTTTTATTTATTTTTTTTACATTTCAAAGAATATTCACCAAGAGCAACATAAAACCTAACAGTGCGGCTCAAGCCTGCGTTGCTTTTGACTACCTGAAGCGTTCTGTGTACTTTCCACTTCCGTGTTAGTGAGTGGATTCTTCTTCTGCGGACGTTTGGGCTGTTTGTAAACAACGTCACGGCTCATTACCGCCATCATCTGATAAGACATGATAATGAGAATGTTGGCTGAAGGACTTCTAGTTTTACTTGAACAAAAAAAGTAAAAAAAAAAAAGAGCAAATAAAAGTCATGCTCTTTTTATGACTGTTTTCGATTATTGTCTTTCAGTATGGTGACAGTTTTTAGCCATTTAGGTAGTAATGAACAGAGAAAGGTAAAAAAAACAAAAAACACTAGATTAATAAAAGCAACTAAATTATAGCATGAAAGCAACCAGTGGTGGTTCTAGACCAAATGTACCAGGGGGCCAGGAGAAGGCCAACGTGTTTTCATGGGGGCACAGAAAAGCATGAAAAAAAAGGGCAAGGGATTCAAATATATAAATATGGCTGCATGAAGTAAATTTTCTATTAATTAGATTTGATTAAAATAAAAAATTTCTTAGTAGGTCAATAAACATTCATAATTTAGGTATTTTACATATTTTTGACTTAATTTAAGCTAAAATTACCCTTTTCTATAAAATCTAAATTAGAACTTAATTCAGTTTTTTTATTTTGTTTAAAAAAAAAACTGGGATCCTATCTCAATAGCACTGAAACTATCACCTTATTGTTTTTAAATAATTAGTAAAACGGAATTTGTAGAGAAAAAACTGAAATAGATCCAAAGGACCTATCAATAACCATGTCTGTTCCAGCTGATATCATCATTAGAATTTCTTTGAGTAATATGTCCTCAGTACAGGGGCTTGGACATGAACTACGGGGGCACTGGCCCCTATTGGCCCCTGTCTAGAATCGCCAGAGATGGCAAAAGTACTCACTTTCCGTACTTGAGTAAAAGTACAGATACTTGTGTTAAAAAATACTCTGGTAAAAGAGGAAGTACTGATTAAAATTCTTTACTCAAGTAAAAGTAACAAAGTACAGGCTTGTAAATTTACTTAAAGTATAAAAGTAAATGTAGAAACCACTTTTTTCATGCCGTTGCCTACATTTTAAATTGATGTCTCCCAATAGGACTAGATCTCCGTTGTGTTCATTTTCAATCATCTCGTCGTCCATGCTACTATGCTAACGCCACCGCCACCAAGCTGCAATGATTTGCCGCAAATGAATACCGCCGAATCTGTCGATTCATCTTGTAGAGATGCGTCAAATGCAACGTAGATTCCCATCCAGTTAGATTGAATTTGGTATTGATGACGTGAGAAATAATAACGGTAACTCCATTGAAATGATTCAAAACTAAAGTAACAAGCCAGTTTTTTTTAAATGTAAGGAGTAGAAAGAACAGATATTTGTGTAAAAATGTAAGGAGTAGAAGTAAAAAGTCGCCATAAAAAAAAAAGTAGTAAAGTAAAGTAAAAATATCAGAAAAATCTACTTGAGTAAAGTAACAAAGTATTTGTACTTCGTTACTTCCCATCCCTGAGAATCGCCCATGAAAGCAACAGTATTTTAATGATAATAATACATTTAATTTATACTATACTTTCCATCAAAACATCTTAATGTGCTACAGGTAAAAAGAGAGAGAAAAAAGCATTTAAAGGGGACCAAAATCTTTGCAAAAAAGAAATGTTTTAAGGTCTTTTTTAAAACACTCAGTGGATTGAGTGCTCTCAAGGTGTCTGGGAGGGCATTCCACAGATGTGGGGCAGCAGCACAAAATGCTCTATCTCCCATTTTCCTTAGTCTGGTTCTGTGTTGTGTGGGTTGATAAGTTATTTGAGGTAAGGGGGGATGTTTATAGATGCATTGATGTGTGAGGAGAGAAACCTTGTACTCAATCCTAGTGGAGATGGGAAGCCAGTGTAATGAATGGAGAATGGGGGTACAGTAATGTGCTCATGTTAATTCTGCTTATTTGAGCCCTGACCGAAAAGTGGTATAAATTGATCTAATGAGGGCAATTTTCTTAATTTCATTCCATAAAAATAAAAACAATCCACTGAATTTGTTTCCAAGTTTGAAAACAAAATGTCAGAAATAGCGTTGAGTTCGAGGCTTTATAGAGTGGACCAAAAAACAAAGGCTTGTTTGGCGTAGAAAACATTCAAATTGAACCGCCCCTTGGGAATGCACAGTCGTTCTTAACATAAGTGCATTTGTTCTTGGATTGGGGTGGTAAAAGAGACATTTTGCCAATGGAACAAGACAATTTACATTTAACATAAGACAACACAGTTGTATTGTTTTATTTCAAGTGCATATTATCTAATTATAGATAAAAATAATAAAAATAATAAATTATAGATGAGTAAAAATACTCATTCCATTGGCATGGTAAATGGCATGTACTTATATAGCGCCTTTATTCAAGTTAGGAGACTTGACCAAAGCGCTTTACACTACATTCATTCACCCATTCACGCACACACTCACACATATTGCATTATTTATAGAGAGTGTGGTGGAGGGAAAAATATCTAGTTGCACGCTTTTTATTAATTTCTGTTTTCTGCTGTATGATGTGGTGGAAAAATAAAAACTATTTTAGATAAACAATCAACAGAGGTTGAATACACTCAAACTGTTTAATGAACTTGTGAGAAGAGTATGATTCAGTGCATAGAACTGCTCCGTTTCAACAGACATTTAAAAAGTTACCATATAATTCAGTAGTTTAAAGAAATAGGTTCCCTGTCTTTTGAAAATGTGAAGCTTATTGTTTATCAGTTGAAATTTTTTTTTTTCCAAACGATGACCTATGTTTTGCATGATCAAAAAATTTTCACCAAAAAAAGGTGATAAGACAAAAATGCTTTATTAAGAATGGAGAGTATATACACAAGAAAGAAGTTGATGCAAACAGAGTAGAATAAATTTTTTTTCATTATTTATTAGTTTTGAGAATAATCTTAAATTTTAATTGAAGTTACAGAAAACAGTAACATATGGATATTTTTTTCCATCTTTAAATTTTACAAATCCTTATTAGGCAAAATTAAAACATCCAAAAATTCAGTAATTATAGATTTGAGGCCTATTAGGACAATGTAGAAATTTGATTAATTTTTTTATCTCACTCATCAACTACAACATATTCATTTGGAAAAAAAATAACAAGAAAATTAAAAAACAAATAGATAAGGATGTATAGCAGAAAACAAAGAATGAACACAGTTGTGCAAACTGCAAAAACAGCCACAGTGAAAAGCCACCTGTTACAGTTTGCTTGTTGGCAGTATTTCAAGAAAATAGCAGATTGTGTGCGGAGTTCTTAAGAGTGGTTCACCAAACAGTCTGACCTGAGTGTGAACCCAGTTGCACTTGGATGACAAGAAGTATTGACTCACTGTAAAAATAATTGCTCTTCTTATATATTAAATAAAAGCAAATAATGAGTAAATATCCCTGGAACCATTCTCAGATGCATCAAAATCAGTTCTTTAAGATAATTATGTAGTTTTAACATGCTATTACACATTTCTATGCTTTTAGATCATCAAAGTGCAAATCCCTTTAGTTTAACAGTGATGCACACACCTGCTGATGAACAGCATTGGATTTATTACCTTTAATACCATTTTTATTTTAATAAACATTTAACAATTTTATATTGATAAATTAGAGCCAAAAATGTGATATATTTTATAATATTAAGTTTGAATTACAAGCACCTTTTAAAACACTCAAGGTCACTTTACAAATTGAGATTATAATAGTCTCATCTCGGAAAGAAAGTTAGCCTTAAGTAGTATATTAAAAACCAGGTGTAGGATTAGACTGGGCCATTCTTACACACATACATGATTTGACCACCTCCATATTACTTGGCAGGTAAGCTGGGTTCAGGGTTATGTGCAGTCTGTACTCAAACATAACATTTTAAATACACGAAAAGGGAATATCAATTCTTTCTTCTTATCACTCATTAAAATATCCAAAAAGGTTTAGATTAATGGAGTGCATGACATAAAACTGTCATTTTTCAAAAGGCTTTTCCACCTGAGCTGTGGATTCCCTGCAGCTCCTCTAAAAACACCATGGAGCTCTGGGCTGCTTTTATTTCAGTATGTTCTCCTTACCTGGCCTTTAAGTTTAAGCTGACGGCTAGGTGGACTTCAGGCTTGCAGTTTTTCCATAATATTTCCAGATTAGGGTGATAAATCAAACAGAACTAGCTTTGTGAGCTGTTCAAAGTTTAGGATATTGTTTCATAATCAAATCCAGCTTTAAACTGACCTGCCTGGTCTGGTCGTCGTCTTCTTGATTTTGTTAGTATGATCATTTAATCTCTTCAACAAATCTCAGAGCTTATCACAAACCAACTAATAAATAAGCATAGAACACACTTTTTTAACAGGCAATCCCTTTTTATAGGATATGAGTCACCTGAAGGCAACTGGTGGCAATAGATTTTACTTAGAAGTATTAGAGTAAAGTTAGATACTGATACAGACACTCCTTTTCATATTTCGTTGGTGATTATTTATGGAAAAACATGTCATTTCCTGCCTGCTCTCACATTATACTTTGTGTTGGTCTATCACATCAAATCTGAAGTGATGATTACTAACTCAGGCGCCAAATATTTTAACAATGAAGCAAATAAAAGTAAAGTACCTTTTTGCAATTGTAACCATGACAGCTATGCGTTTCTGACATTGAATCACTCCTATAACAATTTGCCTATTAAATGCTATTTAGAAATCTCAAAATAAAATACGTACTAATAGTCTGAAATTGTTACGATCAAGAAAAAACATTATCAAGCACAAATAAGCTGGAGTATAAAAAATAGATCATATATTTATCCACGTATCCCCTCAACCTTTTCAACACAGGTCTGGATGGTTAATCCCATTAGAGATTTGTGGTTTATTTGCACCTAGCATTTCTATAGCCTCCCTTAATTTGGCAGTACTATTTTGATTGTAGAAAGCTTCGGGTTTGACCAAAATCGACCATATCTTCTTGCCGGCCTTCTCAGCGTGAAGATTCTTGCAGAGTTTGTTTAAATCTTTTATCAGACAGAAAATCTTGCATGTACAAAGCTCTGGCAGCAGCACACAAGACTTCTTGTTGTTTTTTGGATGCAGCTTCACCACCCAGAACCTTGCCAGCTCAGTGGCACTCTTAGCATGACTGGCCACCATATTGAGAACCAGAGGGTAAAGGTCATGAGCTGCAGCTGGGATGGAATGCTCTGGGAGGCTCTTGGTGGGAGTAGAGTGTCCCTGCAAGGAGGAGGTCTAGAAGAAAAGAACGACTCATTTTTTGCAAGAAGCAGAAGTTATCAGTGTCAACCAAAGAAAAAGAAAAAAGAGCTTACAGTTTTCGCCTGAGGAGAGACGATCAGCACACGGTCGGCATTCTTCACTTGGTCAGCTAACCAGCGCAGTGGTCCCAGTTCTGCAATTTTTTCCTGCTGCCACATATCAATCGCCACTCTGCAGCCACCATGCCACTGCAGGAACTCTGCCAGTGCCACCACCGCCCTCTGAAAGGCAGGCGACTCCGCCGGGTACACCACAACCACAGAGACTGGAACCATGGGGGTCAAGGGGATGATTTCAAAATCCGAAACTGTCATGCAATATTTATCTGGAGACAACAGATCAAAGAGGCATTTCTTTAAAGCACAGTTGGATGCATTTTTAAAGTGCAGCTGATGCATGTACACTGAAAAAAAATAATGCAACCGCTTTTGGCATTTACTTACTCATATTTAGTTACTTTAAAAAAAATGCTTTATGTTCTACCCTGCTAACATGAAACAATTGAGTTACAGTAACAATGTCAAAAACGGTTGCAGTACTTTTTTCAGTGTAATGAAGCAGTTCATGTTTATCTTTTTTACTTTCTATGCTTTAACCCCTCCTCAGATGACATGGGAAAATACATTTTACTTACAGATGACAATGCAGGAGCTCAGAATTATTAAAGAGGCCACCACTCCAATGGCGACTATAGAGGTATTCTTAATTCCCGTTGTCGGAGGAACTGAAAGCAAAGATTAGAGATTGATTTCTTAGGAACAAAGCAAAATCAAGAAATCAATTATTTTTATTTCCACAGCTCTAAAATTATCACATAACATTTAAAAGTTTCAGAGCAGGGGCATGAATCTTTTTTATTCCATTAAAGATCTTTTAAAAGTGGTGTGTAAGAAACAATATAAGGAAGCAACAACAATGGGGCTGCATTGGAAAGGCAAGCGGCAGCTCTGTTCTTTTCCTACCTGCTTCCTTTCTGCCCTTTTCTATTTTAAAGTCAATACTTTTAAACTCCAACATTTAATATTTCTGCTTTCACTGCAACTGACTTTATGCTAATAAGTTCTGGTTCTGTTAAAACAGTCACCATGCTGTTAGCTGTGCAAACTAAGAGGAGGATACAGGGCTATCAGAGAAGGCTACTTCACTGGAATCACAGTTAGAAAGGGTAAGGGTAAATATAAAAATAAATGGATTCTCTGGAAGTGACACTTCATGCTGACACATGAAGTCCGTTTGAACAAATTTTAATTCAATGGAATCATCTGGGTTGAACACAAAAGGATGCCTGAAATGAAAATATTTAAAGCTGGGATTTCAGAACCAATCAAAATATCTAATTTATTTTTGTTCCATTTATTTTTTGTTTATTGTTTTTCTGGAGCTAGATGATAACCCAATAGCTTTGCTTTTACAAGCAGGCAAATACTTATTCAGTAGAACCTATGTCCTGAATTTATAGAACCATTATTTATCCCGCACTTGCTGCTATTGCACTTCTTGTTAGAGCTAAACTGCATTTCGTTGCCTTGTACCTGTGTAATGACAATACATTTGAATCTAATCTAATCTAATCTAATATCGGCTGTTGCCATAAGGTTCTGCTAGGTACTTGCATATGAAACTTTATTGAAAAATATTTAGAGTAAAATCGTACACAACAGCCGAGGAGACGAAAAGGGAGGTAAGAAAGAAACAATGGATAATAATAACTAAGGAGAGAAAGAGATAGAGACATGAAACAGCATGACAAGAGAGAAAATAAAACAAAACCACAAACATAGACAACACAAAATATATAGAGTAATTCCTACAAGTCAGTTTCTACACCTGTATGAGATTAGAGGAACAGAAAACAGAACAAAAGCAAAAAAAAAAAAAAAAAAAAAAAAAAGACAAAAGACAACCAAAGTAAACATCAAAAATATCTTCCAGAGAAGCGGGTGTACCTTAGGTATCCATGTGCCTGGAAGGCGAAACGTATGGTGTTTGATATATTTTAAAATATAATTCAGGGTGGTATATAGATATCTCTACCTGCAGCTTAGTATTTCGTATTAGAGTATATATGTGAACACCTGGAAGCAAAGTCCTGTGGTACGTATGCAAGGGCATTCTCGGGTATAATAATAACCATAATAATAACAATAATATTAATAATATTTAGAAATTTATTGACCTCACATATACCTCTGCATTTAACCCATTTCCTTGGGGAGCAGTGAGCTGCCATTGTGGAGGGCCTGTGGAGCAATCTGGGGTTAAGGGTCTTACTCAGAGACCCAGGATATGAAGGATTTACAAAGTTTCTGAAGAAGCTTTTTAAAAGCTTATATAGGGATTTACAAAGCTTCCACGGATATAAAGGATTTACAAAGCCTCTTCAGAAGAAAAAAAGAGCTTAATAACAGTGGTGAGTGGCCCCAGATTCGGCCAACAGAGCTCTGGATAAAAACGAGGAGTTGTGTACCCAAAATATCCAAAGGCACCCTAGATAACTGGCACACTAGGAGGGCTTACATTGGAATGGCCACACCCAGCAGAGAGGGACAGATGAGTGCACCCCGAAAATGACCCCAGAGGGGCCAAACCCTAAAGGGGCCTGGTGAGGATCATAAGAAATAGGAGGAGACAGGCCCTCCTCATACTTGGGGCCTACGATGTTCAGTAGGTGGCGGGAGGAAAACACTCAACTTTACAAGTAGATACAGAAAATTCACATTCATCCAGTCACATTCACACATTCCCACCCTCCTGATACATACACTATCCAGGAACCAAACACCTTCCAGCATCCCCTTAACTGACTGCAGCCGCAGGCCACATGTAGGGTCATGCCAGACAACAAGGCAGACAAACACTTCAAGCTGAGATGGATCTGGGCACACTGTCTATCCCAGCTGCTGTACAGCCAGTACTCGAGTTGAGGGGGGATGAGGGGGGGATGGCATCCCCCTTCTTAAATGACCATCCCCATATATCCACTGTGACATTTTATCACTGAATGTAAACATTTCTATTATATATTAACAGTAATGGTAATAATATTGCCCTTTCAACATCTGGCAGGCTGTGCGCTTACGAGCAGCCTGACCAAATCACGATGGCCCAGAGGGCACATTCGATTTCATTGCTGTTCTGAACGGCATCACAGCCAAATGGCAAAGACAATGTGATTTGAGGGAATGTGAAAATAAGGAGGGGAGGAAATCTTGGACAGGTTCCAGGTTCTAAGTTTAACAAATAAAGTGTCAGAAATGATCTAGAATGGTGTCGAAACAGTCTATTTTATAAAATAAATACTCAAAAATGAATATTTAAAAGGTGAATAAAATGATTAGATTTTACATAGGCTTATTTCATTTTCAGGCTAATTCTAATATACTTGAATTTGTAAGCAGTTTTTTTTTCAGATTTTGAAAATTATTTCAGCTGTTTCAATTTAGTTAATTGAGTTTGAATAAAAAAATACTTGACTTGAAAAGATTCAGATATTAATTTGCAATGTTTTATGGGCTTTTGTTCAAAATCTTAATAGATCCATTGCCAAAAGATTCTCCAAAGTAAAATCAAAGAAGTGGCCTGCTATGACTTTGAAGTTGATCCCAGAGTGAAAGTAGTAGTATTAATAGAATATATTAATTAGGCCATGATACTTCCAAAGAAAAAGTAATTATTAAAAATAAATAAATATATCTTTTTACTCACTTGTTAAACTTTATAATGCTTGTTGTACAGCACTTTGGGCAAATATAGGTTTTTTTAAATGTGCTATAGTAATATAGTTGACATTGACCAGAGGCAGACCACAACCCAGACCGGGGGTCCCCAGTCCCTCCAACACTTCCCAACCCAAACTCAAAGATGTCTGCCTCCATGGCTGCGAGACCCGCTCCTATTTAATTATAAATAACGAATTCTAAGGCAACACAAATATTAAGGTTAAGAGGCTGAGCTCGTATATGATGATAAATAACATAGTTATGTATAATATATTACATTTCTGACTGTATATCCCTGTAATTATTACACACTGTAGCTTTAAGATAAATGTAGGAAATTCTGCTAAGAACTCTGATTGTAGTAGATCAAACCTGAAATATGGTAAAACTTTCACAGTAAAACCATGAATGGGCCTCACAATATTCTTTTTTTTTTTTGGTTGTTTTGTTTTGTTTTTGGACAGAAAGTTCATGCTTTTCAGTAGTCTTTTTAAGTACTTCAGGCTAAACAATACATTTTTCTTACTTTCAGTATCAGTTGTAGTCGTTGATGTGGTAGGTTGTTGAGTCGCTGCAACGAAAAGAAATAGTTCAGATGTTCTCGAAGTATTGAGTTTAGTTTTTTAAAAGGTAAAAAATACTGTTTTATCTATATATACAATAAAATATCATAATATGACTGGAGCTGCAAAGAGACAAAGAGACCATGGAACATGCAAATGGGGATGTGGTTTAAAATTCTGTGTAAATACATTCGCAAACATTTTGCATGTTGAAAATCTAAAATGAAATGAGTGAATGTTTTTCCTGGAATGAAAAACTGAACACAGTTTGGCAGATGGGCATCGTAATCAAATTACACTGATGTGCACATAGAAGAGAAGAACCTTAAGGGGATAAAAGGATTATTGAATCTTAGGATGAAATTATATACAGTATAATGAAAACACCAAGAAATTCATCACAGAATTTGGAATGATTACACTAGTTAAGGAAAAAAATATGTTTGCAACACTAATAGGGACTTTACTTACCTGTTATATTGGGTGGAGGTTTGGGTGCTGCAAAAAGAGAAGAAAGTTTAAACATTCATGATGTGTTGAGTTATACCTTTAGAGTATTCTTTTTTTGTTTGTTTAAAATTAGATCTACAAGGAAATTGGCTGATCTTTTTTAGTTTTTTTGACAAAATTAATGTATTATACATACAATTATAAGAAGATTTGTATACCTTTTGGTACGTTAATACATTTAAGTTGTTCTATAGAACGAAAGTCAGTTGGGGGTATTGGGAGATTCATAACACGGACGGGGTATTCGCCAGAGCCATAGACTTTTAGAAGAAAAAAAAAAGATTCCTGCAGGTTACAAAGAGGACAGTTGTTCTTAGTATGGAGATAAAAATAGACCATACCTAAAGGCAATGCAAATGCTGCTTAAAATAAACATAACCAGTTGTCGTTTAAGATGGTTTATAAACCTGCTCTAATCCAGCAAGGCTTGCTTCTGTAAAAGGTGGGTTGTATTTACAGACGTAAGTCCCTTCCCCTCCAACATGAATCCTTGTACCGGTCAGGTGAGAAATGCTGGCTGGGGACAAACAGATACTGCTTAGCATTCATCCAGAGACATTTCTCATATTATTATTAATATATATTAATTATATTATATATATTAATTATCATAGAGATGAAATAGTTGTTGCTGTCATTTTGACTGCCATCATGTTATGGACCTTGATAGACCAGATTTACCTGGATTTGTATTTGACAGACTGAGATACTGACATATCCACAATCCAGCACGCCATCTTTTTTATTTTATTTATTTTTTTACTTTTACTGTTTTAAATTGCAATCTATATTTCTTCAAACCGACGCTCTGAAACCTGTCTGTCTCTTACCATCGATTCCAATTGTCCAGCTTATGTTCAAATGTCTTTTCTCTCCATCCATCACCACTTCCACTTCTGAGGCTTTCACCTTGGACGGGCAGTTTTCTTTTTCAAATTTTGGAAATTCTGTAAAAAAGTGGTGATCAACTTCATTATACTGGTTTGTGAAATTAGATCAGGGTTTCATACACAGTTTTAAAAACCTGAAAAGAAAAAAAACCAGTTGGATATCTAGTCATCTTGGCAGACTGAGCAGAAGTATGACAATTTTTATTTTGTTTTTCATATTAGATGTGAATATAAAGGATCCCTTACAGTACTCATTGTTTTTAATCAAAATCTCTTATTGAACCTTTGAGGGATTTGTTATTTGTTTTGTTTTTTTGAATTTCATGTTTCTGTCTTGCTTTAAGGCAGTTATTAGTTTAGCAATTTGGTTCTTGTCATATTAGTTCTTTTTTTATGTTCTCATTAGTTGAATGTTTTTTTCATGCTCTGGTTTGTTCTTTAGTCCCTCTGAACTAAGAGTTAACTTCATGTGTCTTTTAATTTCTTAGATTTTTTTCAGCAGTTTTCTTTAGTTGAGTTGTGGCTTATCCTTTTTTGTGTCATCAGTTTGATCGCTTTCCTTTGCTGCTTTTCTTCCTTTTTATTGTCACGAATCATCCAATTGACTTCAGCTGTGATCAGCCACCAGAAAAGATCTTCACCATGACAGGAAGCTCACTCACACCAGAAAAACATCAAAACCCCAGAGACACTAACATTACCCTCCCTTCAAGGACCGCCCCTCAGGAAGTGGAACAGAGAGAAGTCCCAAACAAGGTAAGAGCCCAAGATAAAAGAATGAAGGATCCAAGACCGTTCCTCCGGTCTATAACTCTTAATCGACAACACTGAAAACCCCTTCCTCAGAAATAAGTATCCAAAATCCTTCGCACAGTGAAGGCTGGGTGTCCGCCACTGTCTCGGGTAAGGAGGACAAAGTAAACTAGACTAGAATCTGAGAGAGTTTGCGATTGGAAGCCTTTGGATTAATATCACAAGCTGATAGCCAAACTTTTTGTCCAGGTTTTGTCCATGATTTGAATTCATGTTTGCACTAGATAACAGAAATATACCTAATCTTTCCATCAGCACAATCTAGCTCCTCCTCTGGAATCTTCTCAGCATAGCCTTTGATCAGAAGCTAATTTAAAAAGCAGTTATAATCATTGTAAAGAGTTGTGTGCCATTCACAGAAACCACTAAACATCTCTTGACAAGGGCATTTTTAAACTGCAGTTCAAAAGTTCTTCTGGATTCAAAACAGAGACCCTGTGGACAGTTATTTATTGTTGTTTACTGTTTACAACATCATCACTGCCACCTTCAAGTACTCCATTTACAGTCCATCCCAGCACAGTCCGAGTTGCAAATGGTCCACCATTCAGCTCCAGGGCTTTTGGCACACTGGTCCCGATAAAGAGCTCAATTTCTGGATCAATCTGGAATAAAGGAATATCTTTTTTGTCTGCTTTCAGTCATCAGGACAGACTATCCTCGAGCCAGTGTTGAGAGTGATTCAGCGTGTTTCTGATTGCCTGATCCTGGCATGTTCTGCCTTTCAAACCTCTAAGCTTGACTGTTCCTGTTCTGATCTGTTCGCCTGACCTGTCTTCTGACTCCAGCTAGATTTCTGCCTGATACCAAACTGATTTCCCTTTGGTACCTCTTTATATCTCCGATCTTCTGGTTGTGAATCCTGAGCACGTCCTTGACACCGGCTTTGACTTCACCCTCTGGATTTTCCTGCTTTTCTTCTGCTTTAATCTGATCTCCTGCCAGTTCTGTAGTCTTCAAAGCTTCAGCATCAGAACTTTACATTTTTCATATATTAACAATTACTTGACAACAAAAAAAAACACTGTGGTTAATTATGCACATCAATATACAAATATAAAAGATAAGTACAGAATTAAAGCAGAAATCGATTTTGTGTTTTATGGGGTAAGAGGAAAAGATGTCTCTACAATTCATCTAGGAGCCTTCCTGGAAATCATAGATAAAAAACTATTTTAATAAAAATGTATTAAATAATCGATTTGTGTAGATATTAGTACATGTAAATATCATTTTTATGCAGAACGATTACTGATAAAGGTAGGTAAATAATGACAATGGAAAAGATCATCCAAGATTTGCCCAAAACTCAAACCTGAATTAGTTTTATCCACTATAACTTTTATCTAGAAAGCACGGATGTTTGAATATGTTCTGTGGGAAAGTATAGTTTGTCTTTATTTAGAAAATATGGATGTTTTACTTGTTCATTTTCCTGTAGGAACAGTGTCGATAAACCATGGAGTGTTGGTGCCTATCTACTTTCGGCCACTCCTCAGTGTGCATTGGTTATTACCTGGCCAACCTTATTAAATTTTCTGGCTACGCCTCAGATCAAATTATATATCAAAATATGAATTAAACACAGAAATGAACTTATACACAGTTAATACAAATTTAAACACCACTAATTTTATAAGTACAATTGGGATGTGGATAAAACATAGTCTTACCTTCCGTTATTTCACACGTGGCATTCTGTAATGAAAAATAAAATGAAATAAACAAGACTCTAAGACAATATGTCCCGTCTGGTTTTAATTACTGTAAATATGGATAACTTACTCTTTTAAAGGACGTCCCACGCGAAGCGACGCAACAAATGAAAAAAAGTACATGTAGCCACCTAGTCATCCTTTAACCTACAAAATCAGACTTCAAAGAAACCAACGAGTAAAAAAATAGTAAATGAAGGTTTTTAGGAGTTGCTGTATCTTTAAGTGTTGCTGGGTTTGTGGAGCACAGCTGCGCTCAGAGCGAAAGATAATGAGCTGGGCTAAGCCCCGCCCACAATCTCACCCGTTGCTTTACAGATAGTCGAGTCTGTCGAGCTGAGGTAAGGGTAAAAATAGACATAACAGCTGCTGAAAAAGACCCAAAAATGTATGTTTTTGTGTGGTTTAGCAGGAAGCTCCTCTGGTTTTATTTCACATTGACTCAGCGTAGGTTCTGGCTTAATTTTCAGCGAGTTTTACCCCTTTAGATAGAGGAGTAGAAGCTGCTAACGACTAGCTGTTTCAGTTATTCTGAGCATATACACAACTCAGCATAAAAAAAGCGAGTTTTAACTCTTTTAAAAGTTAATAAAAGCTGTGGTTTATAAGTAAATGAAATGTATTTGACTTATCGGTCATGTTAAATGCGGATGATAGCTGTTTTTGCAAACGTTTAAAAGTTAATGAATCTATTTCGATGTTTCTTTTTTTATTGATTTAGCTTTTATTGTGTAGCTTGCTTTCTGACATTGAGTAACCAGCTTTCACAATAAAGCACACCCCCTACCTTTGAACTAAAAGCTGTAAAGAAGCCCTTAGGCTGCGTTGCCATGTCTGAAAACATGACATGACTTATGGTAAAGTAGAATCCTGAGCAGTGTGCTTTAATTATTCATCATGTGTCACTATAAAAGTCCTTAGACTGTTATTATGACTTGAATTAATATTTCCAGGGGTATATGTATAGTTTGACAGGCTGCTCATACCTCATTCTGCTCTATTTTTGTGCAGAAATGTTTCAAAACTAGCAATTTTAACCATTTCCAGACAGTAATGCATAGACCATGGTTATTTGTTTTCCAGGCCAAGGACCCCTAAACTGATGGCGAGATGGAACGGGGACCCCCAGATTTTATATATATATATATATATATATATATATATATATATATATATATATATATATATATATATATATATATATATATATAAAATATGAAATTGGGTTTTATCAAACTGGTCCTATAGTCACTCTATTACATATGGAGTAAAGCAACGAAAGTAATTTCGCCCTGGGATTATTAAAGTATTTCTGATTCCTTGTTGATGGGACAGGTTATGTGAATGAAACGGTGCCCAGCTTGAAAGAGCTCCTGTGTGTCACTGAATGTGTGTATTATTGACTGAAAGACATCTTCTTTCTCCATTTATCTGTTTTTTTTACAGTGTGTTAAATTCATGTTAATTAATATTTAAAGATATTTCAATTAGTGGAAAATATCGCAGGGGGTAATATTAAAAAAAAGTCTAATCAACCAAAACTTTCGCGTCCCCCATGCAGTACCTCTGCGGACCCCCTGTTGAGGACCTCTGGCATACTGTAGACCAAAGCCAGTAGAGCTTTCTTACCAATTTTCTTAAATCAAATTCAAGTCATGCAATAAAAATATGAACAAATAGAAATGTTTGAAGGTAATATGAAATGTCTATACGATTTAATGTTAGATTTAATGGCCTATTTTAAAATAATTTTGCATTAAAACAACACTATTTAACTTATTTTACCTACTAGGGATGCTACATCTGTGACTTCCATGTTTATCGCCACTAGAAGCAACAAGCAACACTGTACTGTCACAGGAATTTAACCCAGAACCTTGTTGCTGCAAGGCAGCAGTGCTACCCACTGTGCCACTGAGCAGCGGATTTGTTTAAAGATCTCTTTCTAAGAAACTCAGCTAATTGCATAGTGTCCTGACTACCAATGGTAAAGATTCTCTTACAGTATGATTTTGACTTGTAGCAATCTGTCCAATCCAGCATGCATACAGTAACAGTGCAGAGGAAAACCCTCCTTTTATCAAGTTGAAACTTCAAGTAAAACCAGGCTCATTGTGAGCAACCTTCTGCCGAGGCCAACTGGGGGTTCAAGAAGACAGAAACGGATATACAAAAGATTAGATAAGATTCAACTTTATTGTCACTACACATGTACAGGTACAAGGCAACAAAATGCGGTTTAGGTCTAACCAGAAGTGCAAAAGCAGCAGGTGCAGGCACATGGAAGCACTGATCCATAAATATTCCTTATGTTAGAGAAGGTAATTGTAAACTAGAGCAAAATGTATGTAAATTAATTTAGCCCCTAGGGATGATACGTCTGTAACTTTGATGTTAGCGCCCCTGAGAGCAACTAGTAACGCTGCATGGTTGAAAAATTAAGCAGTCTTCATCTGTGTTTTGTAGACTAACAACAGCCTCTATTGGGTCTACTGTGGTTTCTACGCTCAGACTGCCGTGAAGTGGTGAGTAAAATGACTCATTCATCAATGGATCCAACAATCTAATAAAATAACGGCAATTGTGAAACTCCATTCATGGTGAAAATTTTAGTATATTCTCAGTTCTCAGGAAAACAGTCATCATTCGTCAGCTCTCGGGTATCAGAAAAGGTTATTTGAGATTAATTAAGCAATGAAAACTTTTTTTCATAATACCTAAGACTTGAAAACATATTTTCCCTAAGGACTGACAACTTTTTTTCCTCAGAACTGACAACTGCTTTCCTTAGAAATTAGGATGCCCTAAAATGCACTCTGTATCCGTGAACCATCAAATTTCCCACAATTGGCCAAATCTTGACATCCTGCTCAGTTCATTAGCTGCAACTTTAAACAGCATTGGCTGCTGAATGCTGTTAGAATTACCTTTCAGCTTCATGGCTGAAATAGTTTGATCCATAATAGAAGTATTGATTATGATATTCACAAAGTATTTGATAGAAAACACATGTCTGACTTGTGAAATTTTAATGTGATAAAAAGCCATTCTGATGCAGACATTTAGCTTCAACAGTTATTCAAACCTTTCTCAGCTGATTTTTTGGGGGGTTTTTTTTGTATTTTATCAATAAGCTACCAAAAGTAAAAATCTCTAAAACTGTAAAGCCTAACTGTTTTAGGTGAGGTTTGAAAAAACAATTTTACATCTATGCAGATATAGCTGACTACTGTCAATTAATTGTAAACTATACCTAAATATACATTTTCATTCCTGGTCTCTGATTTAAACTATAAAAACCCACAGTGTGAGGCGTGATTCTGATGACATTTAAATACTAGATGTTTAGTGTCGAAGCTCAGATTATTCAAATTTCTTGTGAAGCTTGACACCACTCGCTGTGGTTGTGACTGCAGTAAGCTGGAAACATTTTTCAGTGAAACTTCTGCTTCAAAAAGATCAAAGCTGTGTCAAGCAGACTGGCTCAAGATCAAGAGTTTCTGGGAGGAGCAGTATGCATTGACCATCGATACGTGCCAAGTGCTGTGTGTTGACCAGCATAATTGTTTAATATTTCTCAAATGAAAACATTTAGATACACAACTGTAGTTTAATATACGTCAGTCAAAAGTCCTACCGTGTTTATTTAAATAAACCTTTTTTGTTCTGTAACGGGCCCTGCAATTACATTTGTTATGAGCGACATACAAACTTCATATTCAGCTTACCTTATTAATAAAGGTAAGATTTCATACTTTAGCATGGACAATGTTTTAATTCTGGTATCTTATACACTTATGTCAAACAAGCTGCAGTTTTTTTCCTTTATTTTTGAGAGTTAAAGAAAAGCCTATATTGGTATCAGGACAGAAAAAAAAAGGAGTTGAAGGATTATAATCAAAGGTTATAACCAAATCTGATAACACTAAAATTTGCTGATTGAGGAGTTTCGATCTCAAAGTAAACCTCTACATCAAATGTGACAGACACTTGGTGTTAAGAATGTTATGTTATGGTAAAACACCCATTTCAGTGTACGCTTGGACTGCCTACTATCAGCTCACTCAAAGTGTAAATATTTGATCAATTTAGAATTTATAATCTGCTTTAACTTCTGATGCTGTCTGAATCCATCTATAGCAGGTATAAGGCCATCGGAGAGACTGATCCTACAATTCAATTCAGTGTTTTTATATAACACCAAATCGCAACAATTCACAACTTTTTACAGAGGTAATTCAGTCGAATCAAACCAAACAGATTCGTTCAAACTTCTCTTTCTAAGAAACCCAGCTAATTGCATTGTGTCTTGACTCCCAACAGTAGAGATTTGCTTGCAGTATGTTTTTGACTTTGTAGCAATCCGTCCAATCCAGCGCACATACAGTAACAGTGTAGAGGATTAAACTTCCTTTAATCAAGTTGAAACTTCAAGCAAAACCAGGCTCATTGTGAGCAACCTTCTGTCGAGGCCAACTGGGGGTTGACAAAAACAGAAAAAGATTAACAAAGAGCACATAGAAGCACCGATCCATAAATCCTCCCTATGTTAGAGAAGATATGTATAAAGTAGCTCAAAAGGTGTCTAAGCAAGAATAAATTGTGCAGATGAGCGCTGAAATTATTTTTAAGAGAAAAGGATGAAAGATGACACCTATCCTGATAGACCACACTAAATGTGAGATTAAATGTGTAATTTAGTCTGGCCCCGATGAATGATACATCGGAGGAGAAATAGGATCTCTCATTTCATTTTTCATCAGAACTTCATCTGCTGTGTTTTAGATCATTTGAACGCTTTTAAATATTGGCCTCCTGGTTGTAAAGAATTACAATAGTCTAGCCTATAAGTAACAAATACTGTACATGGACCACATTTTCAACCCCAGAACAGATTTTCTCATTTTTGCAAAAACTGAGCAAGTTATCTTCTTATTTTATGTGCTTTAAAAGTGATGACTAGCTGGAGATGTGCTGTGGGCTCAATCCATCTACAGGAGGGAACTACAGTGTGCTGCTGAAACATGCTTAAAAACAACACAATATGCAGCTGTATTTATTTTCCACACATCTTTTTGGAAGAACAATCCTACTGTCAGTATAAATAAGCAGATCTGGCAACTTCATCCTGCAATTAAATATTTGCAAGACCAGAAAATGTATTGCTTGTGTTGTAACCTGTTTTATGCAGAGGTTAGGTTTGTAGTGCATGATGAGAAAGGATTCCCATGACAAGGTTAATCCAACTTATAAACCTTGAGCATGGTGCATCCTTTTAATATTATGCATCTAACACCACAACAATAGTAAAGTGACTCAAAGTATTACAGATGAATACAGCCCATTAAATAAAAACAACAAGAAAAGCAGCAGCTTTTTTAATGCTGACATTTCCATTTGGCAAGTCTATTCTTGAATAAGCTCTCAACCTCCATAGTCAATCTGACAGTTTGGTTTACATGCCTGGGGTGTCCTTGATGTTCTGTTGAATAATTATTTTGATTTACATTTCATAAAGGAAGCTCCCCTAAAATGCTTTCCTTGGCCATGGCGGGCCGAGCAGTACTCCCAAGACTTGTGACAGGAAGATGGAAGACATTTTTGAAGGATGGAAGGTGCTTATTTCTTAAAGAAACATCCCTATATTACCAAGGACACACACATTAGGCTTTATTTTTTAGCTGCACCTTCTGTATTGCAGATGTTTCACTACCTCAGCTTCTCACTGGAACACTTCATCCTCACCTTCAGCCCATCAGAAGACCCCATCCTATAGCTATGTGGTTGTTGGAGCAGGGTCAGCAGGCTGCGTCCTCGCTAACCGCCTCACAGAGGACGCACAAGAGTCTGTCTGCCTCTTGGAGGCCGGGCCCAAGGACAAGTGGTTAGGTAGCTCACGACTCTCATGGAAGATCCACATGCCGGCTGCACTGACCTACAACCTCTGTGATGACAAGTATGACAATTAATTTGCCATTTTTTGTACCGTTAAGTGAAAGGTTATATCTGTTTTAAACACCTCATAATGTTTTGATAATCTAAGGGGCTTTTTTGTCATTATGCTGTCTTTTATCTGAACTCCTCCTCAGGTATAACTGGTACTACCACACTTTACCTCAGGCCCATATGGACAACCGGGTGATGTATTGGCCCAGGGGACGTGTTTGGGGAGGGTCCTCCTCACTTAACGCCATGGTTTACATCCGTGGACATCCAGAGGACTACAACCGCTGGCAGAGAGAGGGTGCCGAGGGGTGGGACTACGATCATTGTCTACCTTACTTCAGGAAAGCTCAGTGCCATGAACTAGGTGAAAACAGGTATTCCAATGTAAATGCTTTCTTTGCATGAGTTTGATAGGAACTAGAGATAGGTAAAATACACAAAATGGACTACTTTCACTGAGTAATAATGGATGTTAAAAAAACAAAAACAATCACATTAGTTAAATAGGCCACTGTTCTAGAAAACTGTATGAAATAATACCATTTAATGGTAATTTGCAGACATGAATTGATAATCTATTTTTGCTGAACCGTCTTAGGGACAACTGTTTGAATAATAAAAGTATCTAAATAACACATCTAAACAATGCATTCAGTTTTTCTCTATATCCACACACATCATCAGATTTTCTAGCCTGGTGTTATAATCTAAAAACAATCAATTTCCAAAGTTCACCACAACTAGAGGTACCTTGGTGCAAGCTTGGGAAAAAAATAAAAGGATTTCTTGTTGCTATGCAGTGTTGTTATGCTTAATTTATTGTGACTACATAAGGGTTATATTCTTGATGGTATGGTGTTTTGCCTTTGTCTCCTAACACTTGTCATGTATCTGCAAGAATTTTACTGTCTAGGATGAGCCCTGCTTAGTGACTTAAGTGGATTTTTTGGATTAAAGGATTTAAAATGTACATTATGACACAATTTAGGACTAAGTAAGTTAACTTTTTGTGACGCAGCAGTCTGGTTTATTTTTTTCTTGATATTTACTTAACTCTGTGGTTTGTGAACTGCTACAAATTAGTCAAAGACCACTTTCTGGTTTTCTCTTCACATTGCAGGTATAGAGGTGGCAGTGGACCTCTTCATGTGTCTAGAGGAAAGACCAACCATCCTCTGCACAAGGCTTTTATTGAAGCAGGGCAGCAGGCAGGATACCCCTTCACAGATGACATGAACGGATACCAACAGGAAGGCGTTGGCTGGATGGACATGACCATATACAAAGGTTACAGGAACAGAGGAAAAATCTTTATTAGAAACACCACATAAGCTTTAAGAACTTTAACAAATGTTGGTTAAAAAGAGGGTTAAAGGACTGCACTGATGTTATTTGGAGTTTATTTTATGATAAATACACTATTCAACTTTGCATCTTTCACCTAACCAGTGAGCCTAAGAACTGTATTTGTTTCCTAATCTGATTTTGAGTGCTCAATGAATGGGGGGAAAAAACATATAACCTCAGTTTTACCCAAAAACAAATCCAATTTCTTAATCATATTTGCACCCAAAATATAAGCCTCTAAAGCAACATGGGATGCATTTGCTATTGTAAAGAGCAAGGGTCACCAACGCAGTGCCAAGGGGCACCAAGGGGCCCTAAGGACCACATGGGGTGCCCTCAGGGTCTTTGAAAACAAAACAACTCACCATTGGCTAAATTTCAAATTTTTCTTTATTCTGTTGGCCCTATTGTTTGCTAATTTATATAGCATATCATCTTATTAATCAGAACATTTAAGCATTTATAAAGATTTCAAAAGAATAATATCTGAAGAAAAAGGAATTAAAAGAAACTATAAAAATATGTTTATTATGTATGAGGTTTAGGTGAAAGCTGACCCCTCCAGTTCATAGGTCAGCATTGGTATCCCCTCATATGACTCTGTAGCCATGCAGTAGCCCTCAACCTTAAAAAGGTTGGTGACCCCTGGTATAGATTCTCTGTTTTACATCAGCAAGACCGAACACTTCACAATAAGCAGAACCAGAAGATATAAATGCTTTGATGACCCTCGAGATCATCACTAAAGTGGATTCACATGTTCAAATACCTTATAGTGAGAAAACGAGATAAATGATTATCAAAAGTTATCTTATATTTCATCTTGTGTATCTTTTTCAAAAACAGTAAAATACGTTAAGACTGAAAATCAAACTTCTTATCTGGTATTGAGGCAAACATCCTTATAAAAATGGTGATGACATCTTCCTCAAAAGAACCGCTGAACCAGATGGAAACTGTAACATAACTGCCTGCAGATATAGATGTACAAGGATATGTAGTGTTTTAAATTAATCCGTTTGCAGGAAAGAGGTGGAGCACTGCCAGCGCTTACCTCAGACCGGCCCTGAGTCGACCCAACCTGAAGACAGAGGTGCAATGCCTGACCACAAAGGTCTTGTTTGATGGGAAACGTGCTGTGGGAGTGGAGTATGTGCAGAATGGAGAGAAAAAGAGAGTAAGAAGCATGAATGTTGCACAATTCTCACAAAAAACCTAAACAAAATGAAGATTTTTAAATCAGTACTTACCTAATTCCTTATGCTAGGTTCTATGGGTTTATATTCACACCAGCTTACTGGCTCTATTTTATATTTATTGAGGTGTTTGCAGATAAAGAAGTGATCTTGAGTGGAGGAGCCATCAATTCTCCTCAGCTTCTCATGCTTTCTGGTGTAGGAAACGCAGATGAACTGAAAGACCTTGGAATTCCCATCATTCAACACTTGCCAGGTATGTTAAGTTAATAGTGTTTGTGTCGAAACAATGTAGATGATGCATGCTGTTATGGAGGAACAGTGTACTTAATGTAAGTGTTGTTTTTGTAAAAGTGTTAATCACTTTTTGACCTTGCTGTATGTCTGTAGCTTGGTCTAATATAGTAACGCAACTAGTGTTGCAGAGCCCCTGTGCTATCCTCATTACGATGACAGCTACACTGATCTGTCTATTTTTTTGTATATGTGTTTTTCTATAATTTAAACCATTATTTTTTTAAGATTAGGATTGTCTAGATGCAGGTGCAGCTTTAACCAAATAGTCTTTTTTGTTCCTTCTTAATGTTATTTTTTAATTTGCCAGGATAGCAAGAAGTCAGCTGAGTAAAACAGGAGCAGATTATCAAAATTTAATATAAAAAAAAAAGATCAAAATATTAACTGGTTTCAAAATGGCAAAGCCAAATTCCAGACGACTTGGAGAGGAGATGTTGTTGATCTAAAGCAGGAGCAGAATAGGGACAGAGGATGAGTTAAGGCCATCTTTTTTTTAATCAATCATTGCGGAGACTGAGAGGGAAACACCGAGCAAACAAACTGAGTGAACTTCACGAGCTTCCAATGAAACGTGATGGTTTTGTTATTACGCCTCTTAGAAGATAGCAGCAGATGGGGGTTGGAAGAGGATGGACTAAATGGAATGGGTGGATTAACTGTGCTTGAAAACAAAGAAATCACACTGTATCATTGGATGTTTTATTTTTCAGTTGTTTTAATTTGTCTTTTAGCCATCTAAAATCCCAAACCAAATATATATGGCTGTTTGAATTTGCAGTTTTCCACCAAGCATTACTTTTTGGTAAATGATAAATGTCACTTCAGAAATGCTTTGCACCGTTATGCACCCGTTCTCTTGCCAGCAACCACCATCACAGCCATCCTCTCCATAGCCAAAGTACAGCACAGCAGGAGGTGCAGAGGATATAATCAGTGATCAACATGATTTCATTTACAGGGTTCCCGCGGGTCCTAAAAAAGTCTGCATTGAATTCTTCAAAATAAAACTAAGGCCTTAATTGGTATTAAAATGTCGTAAATCAGTCTTTCGTAGGTCTTAATTTTTAAAACATCATAAATAGGATTATTTTTATTATGATTTATTTTTGTAATCTAAATAAAAGATTAAAATTGACCTTTTTTTTTTATTTAGAAAAAATAATGGCTCGCCATTATTGGTTCCGTCCCAATAACGGAACCAATAAAAGCGTTGTTGAGGCCGGGACATTTGGGAGATGCGCCATTTACTTTTTGTCTGGAAAATATGAGCAAGTGTAAATGTAACGAAAATTGGCTATCCAGCCAAGAGTTTTCTCCATGGCTAAAACCAGTACCAGAGAACATACATGAGGCACAGTGTATTTTGTGCAAGCAGTCATTCAAGCTTGGAACGATGGGAATTAAGGCAGTGGAGTCACATGCGAAGCGCGAAACACAAAGTGTCAAAATCGAGTTACCGAGAAACAGCCGGCATTTCTCAGTTTTGTTCCACCCTTGTCTCTGCAACGCCTCCACTTATCACCAAATCAAACATACTAAGAAAACGATACAAAGAAAAATAGCTGCAAAAAAGACTTAGCACTGGTTATGTTGTGGCTTTAAAACTGATTTGTTTTGTTCCTAGCTAAGACAAAGTTTGTGAATTCAGTTAAATAATTGTTAAAATATATCTGTCACTTGTGTGTTTTTTAGCTTTCTTCCTGTATGGGAAGCTTTTCAAAATTTGAAACATTAGTGCAGTGGTTTATGTTATAATAAACCTTTGGGTTAAGTTGTCGCAAGCAGGTTTTTCTTGTGCATTTGGTCTTAAATTTTTATTTCAAGTGGCATTAAAAAGTCTTAAAAAGACTTTAATTTAACTTGCCTTATGCTGTAGGAACCCTGATTTAAATGTGGATGGCATTTAACAAAGTGCATACTGTAGCTTGACATGTTTACTGTACGGTAGTCAGGCTTTGACATTAGCTGTGGTAACTTGGGAGCAATATATTTTCTCCATCTGGGAAAATCAGCATTGCTTAGATTGAAGGTTAATGAATCCAGCTCTGCCATGGTTTTATGACGGAAGCTGTCAAGAATGATTCAGTCAGTGGGAGACTGACCAGTCCAGCTTTATCAGTACCCTCCAGGTCCACATATTGCCCAGATACTGTCCATGTGTTCTGCCTAGCTGGATGCTGGGAAAGCAGTCTTCATTCAACCAGAGCAAAGCTGGGTTAATGGACTCTGGGTTAATGACACAGTAGCTTCTCACAGAACTTTCTTCACAAATAAGACCATTGCTAAATGCTCACTACAACCCTGTTGCTCTGCAGTTCAACAAAAAAAGACCCAAGCCTTATTTCGGATGCCACGGGGCAACTAGAATGACTTTGGTTTTATGACAGAAAAACAGGCAGATGTCAGAGTCTCTGTAAATGAGGGATCAGTGTGTGGCTCACATCTTCCTGCTCATTTGCTTTCTGACTTCTGGCAGGTGGGGAGGAGGGACGCAGTTACTAACTTAGTCCCAGTTCACCCAACAGAAGCCACTTTAATGGGGAATTTGATGAGTGACATGTCTGACTTTAAAACAACTCTGTTATAATCCGTGTAAATAACTTAGCTTTTGTCCAGCCTGCCGTCAGCTAGCATTTTATACCAATGTCCATGTGAAAGTCTGGTACTTTTAAAAATGTTTTCTGTCCATTCTTTCTTCCTGTTTGAGGAGAGAGCTGTTGGGAACTGTTCACAAAATACCAAGGCTGTCATTGGTCTAGACACACAATGTTGTCCATAAAAGTCCAATACTTGCAACATCTGAACCAAGAGCTTTACCTGTATTGGTATGTTAAAAAAGAGAACTATGTAATTTAATAAGGTGCTCTGCCCAGCACTACATTTTTTTTTATAGAGAATATTGAGCATTTTCTAAAGACTTCGGTACAAGTTTACAAGTCTTCCACTCCTCTGTCCTCAGCCATCAGCATTCACTGCATGATTACTTGTATAGTTTGGGTTACCTAACAATGTCATGATTATTAAAGTATGTTTTTTTTAAAGTGAATTTGAATTTAACTTAAAGGCTTCTTTGTCTTTCTTCACTCTGTCACTCTGTTATTCAGGCGTTGGTAATAATCTGCAGGACCACTTGGAGCTGTACGTCCAGCAGCAGTGCACTCAGCCCATCACCTTGTACAAGGCACAGAAGCCTTTCCACATGATCAAGATCGGTCTTGAATGGCTCACCCTTTTTACCGGTAACCACGTTTATTTTGCATAATTAGTCCTACCCACTAAACTGTTCCTGGTTTGATCACAAGACCATCACAATTTTTGATGCACTTCATTAGAATTTTACGTGTTAAACAAAACAGGGTGTACTGTAGTGGCTGATTTTGATGGAGACTTTGATGTCAGTGACAATGCTTGTTCACTATAATTCTTGGAGAAATGTGGGTCCTTCACAGAGCAGCTTGTTTCCTATTTAGATTAAATCAGTCAAAGGTGGACTTGGCTGAAATCAAATGTATGACTAAACTTTTAAAATCTTAATCTTTAAACCATTTTGAAGAGTTTTTCTGCATAATTTCCACTTTAGCACTATTATGTATATAGTGTAACTATATATGTCCCACACAATGTGCAATGCTCTACAGATACAGATATGAGATGGTGTTAATGCTACGTAATGTTTTTATTTGAAATGTATGAAAAACATGCAGCTCTTCTTAAAGCAGGACTTTGCTGCTGCTGCTTTTTAATTGTCCGTTCAATAGTTTATCAGGTTATTGCTTGTAGAATGCTAATAGGGTTCTTCTCTGTGTATTATCTTTTTATATTATTAGGAGGGGTAATTTTCTCTATAATATGGACATATTTGCACGGGTTAACTTTTTTGAAGAATTTTATTTAGAGTCATTGTCAGAATTTGACTCGATAAGGACTCATGCTTTCCCGTGAAGTGTTCTGTACTGTGGCGAAAGACTGAACGCGGCTGATCGAGAGCTGATTAGTGCAGGAAACTACCTTGTGGCTTCACACTTAGTGCTGCATGCTCAGATCTACAGTGGCAGATTTGCATCGTTTCTATCAGGCTTGTGCTGTGTTTGCAATTACACTGATCACTCCACCACTGTGTCCCCCCAGGCTATGGAGCTACAGCCCATTTGGAGAGCGGAGGGTTTATCCGCAGTCGACCGGGTGTCGCACACCCTGACATTCAGTTTCATTTTCTGCCTTCTCAAGTCATTGACCATGGTCGGGTTGCTTCAAAGATAGAGGCATATCAGGTGCGACACGTGACAGAAATAAGTCGTATTCAGTTGTTTCCAGACTGCAGACAGGCTGTCATGCAAACTTAGGTTTATTACTACAACGTATACGAGCAGTTCCATGTTAATCCTTCATTCAAAGGCATAATGCAACATTTAAACGAGCCATGGAAAATTCCATGGAAAGCCCCATACACAAGAAAACAAGCAGAGGCTCTGCCTAGAAATTTCCTGAGAGCTGATTCTCTTCCAGTGAAATGCACCTGCCAGGAAGTGATAAGGGCTCTGCACAAAGAACAAATTGGTTACCTAACCTCAGTTTTATAAACGGCTCTTTAGTTTGAGATAAAAAAAAAGCTATGCTTAATCCATTTTGCTGCTTTTTAGATGGTAAGCATGTCTGATGTATCCACTAACGTATAAATTAAAATATTAAAATTTTATAAATTAATTTTAATTTTATAAATTAAAAAATTATGTGGACAGAGTAGGACAGATCTAATTCATGTATTAAAAAAGTCAGCTCATATGATAGACAACTATTACTAGTAAACCTATAGAAACAAAAATATAAGGAATATAAAAAGAAAAACCAAATATAACGGAGGAAGTTGCAATCAGCCTTAACTAAGATTGTTGCTGTCTTTAAGTGAACAAACTCAGTTGAAAAGTAAATAGCAATGTTCTTTTGTTTTAGGTCCATGTTGGACCAATGAGAAGTGTTAGTGTTGGCTGGATGAAGCTAAAAAGTCCCAATCCGATGGATCATCCGATTCTTCAACCAAACTACCTCTCCACTGGTAAGATCCTCAAAGCGCCGTTTGACACCCAGCAGCAGACTAAACAGAATCATGTGTGATTTTTCTCTCATATTTGCAGATATCGATGTGTGGGAATTCAGACAGTGTGTCAAACTGTCCAGAGAAATTTTTGCCCAGAGGGCCTTTGATCCACTCCGTGGTACTGAAGTCCAACCCGGTCCCCAGGTCCAGTCTGATGCAGACATCGACGCTTTTGTCCGCCAGAAAGCTGACAGTGCCTACCACCCCTCCTGCACCTGCAAAATGGGCTCCGCCACCGATCCAATGGCGGTGGTGGACTCAAACGCCCGGGTGTTTGGTCTGGAGCGGCTGCGTGTGGTCGACGCCTCCATCATGCCGAGCATTGTGAGCGGGAACCTGAACGCCCCCACTATCATGATCGCAGAGAAGGCAGCCGACATCATCAGAGGTCGGCCTCCCCTTGAGGACCAGGGGGTCCCTGTGTATGAGCCTCCGACATTGGAAACGCAGAGATGATCGGTAGACCGTCAATTTGGTGATTTTACTCTACGGTCATTTCTCTTTTATGAGCACTAGTGAATTTAATCAACACAAATCAAAAACTGTGACTTAGTTTTGTTTACACACAAATAACACTTTGTACTCTTTTTAATGTGGAAGTGAAGGAGCCAACAGGTCAGTCTGATAATGCTGACTTGATCAGATTAGATTCATGCAGTCGAATTTTTACCGTAGCTGAATTTTAAAGCACTGCCCACATCCACACTCTCACATCATACAAGCCTCACTGTTCTATATGCAGACATTATTACTTTCTGCCTGATGGCAGCCGTGCTGTAAATACAAATGATCCCTTGCAAAATCCAAACGATACCTGGAAGTGCCTTATTTAACTAAACCCCTGGTTTAAAAATGTTTTATTTGCATCTACTAATGAATATTCATGAGAAAGGCTAAGCATACCCACAGACTGTTCATCTCAACTGCACTCTCTCCCCAGTTAGCTTTAATCTAATCATTTAAAACGTGCCTTTATTGTCACAAACAGCAGCTGTAGAACTAATGCAGAGAAAGATAAACAAAAAACAAACTAAGCTTTCTTGTTTTAACTTGAAATAGTTTGGTCACTCCAAACCCACTGACAGCACACAGAAAATGTATCTTAATAAATCTGGTTTACAGCTTCTCTCAGATAAGTGTGCTTTGCAGTCATTCCTCTTGTCTACTGATCCGCAGCCTGCAGGGTTAGAGCACATGTCTAGGCAGAACACTTTTTATTCTTCTTGACCAACATAACCTTCATCTTCCTTCCTGAGAAACCTGCAACAGTTCAGCTCATTTGCCTAGGTTTGTTTGCCTAGGTTTAAACTATCAAGATAAGTTTGTGCTCGGTTCCACTTCGGGTTAACCTTATCTTAGAAAAACTGACATTTTGTGATGCGAGCATTACATCTGATTTTGGTTTTAGGAGAAGAATAGCACTGACTACTGAGAACACATGGTGAGAAAAGGCCTGCCTACGTCAACACTAACCACTGCAACAAAAGTTTTTCCAGGATATTTAAATTTTTATCCAAAAAAAATACCTTGCGTATTTCAAATCATAAAAATAAAAAATTAAACTGTAAGAAACGTATGTGAACAAAACAACCTGCCTTGCTAACACTAATACACCGGTTTACACAGCCATACAAGTTACCTTTTTTTTTTTTTTTTTTTTTTTTACAGCTTTTTACAATATGATGTATTCATATATCAACAGTGCACAACATTCATGGTCTAAAGTCACCATTTAGGGGTCAGAGCTCAATGAGGTTACATTCATTTCCTTGTCTAATATTGAGAATATGTTGAGAATAGGTGAACAAAACGCATCTTAAGTTGCTTAAAAGGGATGATTGTTTACGAAACCCAAATTATTGCAGCCATGCATGTTAATAATTCCAACTCTGGTTATTAGTTAAAATCTATGCTTTGCAAAGTCTACCTTTTTCTTTACTTTATTATTTGAATAAAAAGTGTTTTAAATTGCTGATCTGCTTTGGAAAACCATGAAAAAGCTCATTGTAATTCATGGTTTTCAGATTTTAGTGTTTTTTGGTTCTAAGAAACTAACATGTTAAGTCTCCTTTTAAAGAATTGTCCTTAGTTTGCCTGGACAATAACACATGTAGATCTATGACGCCTATGCAGTAACAATAGCTAAGTATCAACCGTTGCTAATTATGTTCATATAAATCATTTTCTCTTTACTAAATACTTTGACCCAAGCAGATTCTATTTTATTTAATTTTTGTAATTCTTTTAATATTGCAAATGTTAACTTATATGATTATGTTGAAATTTATGAAAATGGATTAAGGGAAATGAAGGTTTTTAAATATAATGAAAATATTCACAAAGTGTCATGAGCTTATCATTATATTGTCATATCAGTGTTAATGTCAACGTGTTTGATTCACATTTTCTACGATTTTTCTTCTCATTGATATTTTAAGTATTACATTAAGTCAATTAATCACTGTTATAAGCTATCATGGACCATATTATCACCTGTATTGACCTTTATTGTCTGCTTTTGTATTTCTCAGCTGATATTTATAACAGCTGTTGTTTACACTCTGCAGTGTTGTGCAATGATGTATTAACCATGTTTTGTTTTCTTATGAAGAGCTAAATGTGAGTCACAAAAGGAGATTTTCTGTCAGTGGAACAAACCTTTTTTTTATTTCGTTGATTTTTTTCCACTTTTTTCACCGCATTGATTGTCAACAAACCGTCCTGACTTCGTCTTTCAACTTCATTTAGCGATAACTACAAAAACCAGCGGATGCATTGTCATTTCAGGCAAAAATTCAAATATACAAAACAAGGATGTTGTTTCTGTTGGTACAAAATCTAGAAGGTATTAATTATGCTACAAAGTATATGAAGACAACTTTCTATTTTTTTTTTTATACAACAAATTGTTAGAAAGCAGAAATCTTCAAGTTATTTGTTATAAACACTATACAGATTTTTTTTCTTACATTTCATAGACTTCAGTAAAGCAGTGTTTTAGAAAAAATAAAGCTGTGTTGCACATCAAAGCTTTGTGTTCTTTGTCATTTTGTCTCCTGATAAAACTTAATGTCCATTATTGTATTCTATCTTGCTGACATTGGCCAGACTGGGCCAGCATCATGCAGTGTCACTTTTTAATTACTAAAATGAGTTGTTTACTAATACACAATGACTACTGAGGATGATTAATATTTAGTTATTATCTATGGATCTCCCAATAATTGGACACCCTACCAATTATACCAAGATGTCCAATAGTTCAGAAACTAAAAAGACCCCAACCGATGCATTTTAATGTTGGCAACTATAAAGAGGATTTAACAACAATGCAAGAAGTATACCTTGCTTAGAATAAATTAAAAATAATTTTAGTTATTTTTCCCCCCCAAAATAATACATCTTGGGTTAGCAAGGCTGCATATAAAAGCCTTTCCTCAATATTACTAGTTTGGAGCTCCTAGATGCTTTTCAACTGTTAAGCAATGTAGTAGAAGGATTAAGATGGGATTTTTTTCTATCCACAGATGCTTGATACTTAAGTCTTACTAATTAATCTTGAGTTGTTCTGATATCCATTGAAAAAACTGTGAACTTTCTAGCTTAAAAATATGAGGTCATGTGATTTATAGCAGGAATAAGGCCATTCATCGGGAGGAAAACGTTAATCTAAAATGCATATAAAAAGAAAAAAAGAATTTAAATGGACCAATCAAACTCCATGCCTTGATTGATTGAAATGCTTTCTTGACCTTAAACAACCTGTCACATGATTAGGTTTCTATATTATTGGGTTTTTAATATTGCGTGACTCAATCAATCGTGATGGAGGGCGGTCTGAAGTCCTTCAATCTCAAGATAGCTTGAAAAGTGACAGAAGAAAGCAAGTTACTGTTTCACTGCTGCATGTGGTTCTGTTTTACACTGACCTTTCCAATATCTTAAAAGTTTTAGTAAGATATGATTCAGTTACAGTATGTGTTGCTCTGATCAGAGGTTTTAATTAAACCATCCAGACTAGGTGAGGCCTCTCAGACTCATGTTTTTATAATATTAGATTTAAATCACTTTTAACAGTAACACTGTTTCCCTATTTACGGTATCCAGTCTTAAGATCTAAACAAAACAAATGTCGATGCTAAACCGTTTGAATCTTAATTAGTTAAAATTTCCAAGTAGCTCTAAAACCCATTATCTACTAATGTAGCCACTAACCACATTCAAAATTAAATCATAAGTTATATCACAAATAATCTCTCCATAACTTAGCTTGACACATCTTGAATAAAGTTACAACACTAATGTTGGGCAGTGTGTGGTTTTATTTGTAAAAAAAAAAAGCCCTTTGATTACGCACGTTGTGGCCGCCACAGCCCAGAGCTGATCTCCACAAGTTAACCTGAAGGTATTATAGTTGGCAGTGATAGCAAACAGTACTGGCTGGAGGTGGAGCAAATATATGAGTGTCGCATCTCATCCTGCAGCCGTGCCCTCTATTCACAAACCTGTGTTATGAAAATGCTGTTAGATAAAAGCCTCAAATATAACCTCTCAATGCCACCACTTAAGAGGCCCAATTTCCACTGGGGGGCTCTGAAAGTACAATATTGAAACAAGAAAGATGCACGCATCTGTTTCATCCAGTGGCCAACGAAGCTGGGGCAATCCAACATTGTTTCCTTAAAAGGGCTGTGTGTCAATCAGCAGATGAGACAATAAAGATGAATGGTAAAATCATCTATCAAATAACAAATTGCATATTTTAGGATCATTTACAATGAAATCTGTTTTCTTACACTGCCTCTTTCACTGCAACAAATGTTTTCTTAAAATAAGTGTATTTTTTTTTTAATCGAAGTGGTGAGACACTTTGCCAATGAAACAAGACAATTACATCTAAAATAAGATTTTAAATTATATTTTTATTATTATTATATTTTAAGTGCATGTTATCTAGTTATCTTTTTTTAAGAATAAAAATATTAATTCCTTTGTCAAATCATCTTATTTACCTGCTGAAATTAAGAGTAAATACACTTAATTTAATAATTTTTTTTCTTATTTATACATCGTTTTTGGAGTGCAGGAGTTTTTTGTTTTTTTTTAGATTTCATTTCAAAAATTAAGCATCAGTATTGAGATGGGGCAAAGTAAAGAGAGCACATGAAGTGGAAGAATGTAGATGAGTTTAAGGTCTTCATTCACTGATATGTAAATTAATATTCAAGTTAATGAAAGAAAAAAATGTTTAACCCTGAAATCCTGAATATTTTTATCCATAGCAGCTTGATTTATATATATAGTCCTTAGCAAAAGCATCCATACCCCTTGAACCTGTTCAAATTTTGTCAAAGTAAAACCACACCCCTTAATGGGGTTTAAGGTGTTTTTTTCTTTTTTCGTTTCTTGTAATGAATCTCGTGACAAGAAAATGGAAATGGATGAAAATTGTGAAACCAGCCAGAGCGAACATTTTGTACGGCTTGTTTTTGCTGCTGCTACAGCTGCAAGTGTTCAGCGGTGCGTCTTTATCAGCTTTACACATCTAGAAACATTCAGTTCTGCTCATTTGTCTTTGCGGACAAAACCTTCAGCTCTTTCAATCATCTGCGTGCAGGAAAGTTTAGGTGATGCCTACGTCAATGTGCTTTGATCTTAGCTGGGACTAAATTGTAGTTAGGATGACAACAGCTAATTTAATGGTTTTAAGTGGAGGCAATCGGCAGTCACTGGATTTTATTGAGGCAAAGTATTGAGGCCTAATCAAAATACACAAGTTTTTACAAAAAGTGCAAAAGTTAAGGGGGTATGACTACTTTTACAAGGCACTGTAAAACTGCTCTGACTTTGGATCCGCAATAAAACAGATAAGGTAAAAAAAAAAAAAAAAAGTAACATTGATACACTTTCTAACAAGTTTGACAAATTAGGGGCAAAATTACACATACTATATATACACAAAAAATGCAAATAATTTCAGGAACTTTTGAATCTTTGGGAGCCACAGGCCCAGTTAGTGACATCATCACTGCAAACCAAGTGGAGGGATTTGGAAGGGTTTAATTTTTCAGTTTTCTAAAACTATTTACACAAGAAGAATTCCAGGTAAGTCTTTTTCATTTTCTTATTTCTATCTGCAGGAGGCCAGCAGTGGCACATTTTTTTTCTCTATTTTTATATTGGCTCTCCATGATTTATGGCCTCATTTGTTTGAAGTTTTGCAGCTTTAGCGCAGAGCACTAACCCCCCCCCAGGCATTGTTCACACAACACCAGGTGGATTAAAACACCCATAAATTAAAGCTGAGTTTTATTATTCATAGAAACCATGCGCTAAAGATTTGAAGCTTTATCAAACAGATGTCATTAATTAGGAAAATAGAAACAACTCTTAATAACTGACCTGCTTTCAAAGAAGCTGGCAGGCAGATTTATGTCTCCTGGTTTAACTCATAGCACAAAATCATGTGTCCGTCTTAACTCTACAAAGCAGAAAAAGAAAACAAGGCACTTTGCTCTCACGTTGATCCCTGTTTTTTTTTTTTTCCATTGTCTACAGGGTGTGTAGAGACATTCCCGTACATGAATTAACTATATAATCTGCTCTGAGCCGCTGCTATAGAGAAGTGATGCATATCATCTCGTCCGCTAGGTCCTCCTCGCATTTCACAGCCACGTACGGCTCCTCGTCGCTGTAGTCCCTGGGGTGCATATCAGCACGTGAGTCTGAGCTGGCGTTTCCAGTCCCTGCTGTGCTGCCGTTCCCCATGCTTCCATTCAGAAGGTTGCTGGCGGCGCTCTCCATCTCGTCGATTGTCATTTCACAGGCGTCGGCGATCTCGTGTTTGGCAGCGGTCACAAACTTGGGGTCCCTGGCGTATTTCCCGAGGCCCTCAGAGATCAGCACCTGAAAGGCATGGATTAAAAAGTAAAAGTAGAAATGATAAAAGACATTAATCAGAACCAGAAAGTTAGAACAAATAAAATAGCTGCAAGTGGCATCAATAAGGACAATAGTTCAAAGAAAAGAAACCCCACCTCAGGAACCTAAAAGTAACTGCAGCTGTTTGGGGTATTTTTTGCAAGAAATAATTATTGAGTGACGATAAAGGGATGATAGTATATTTTAGCATGTAACTGTGAGTCTGTAGCCTTAGTGGTTCAAACTAAGATAGGAGACTTTTCATCTTTCTACAATGTAGTAAATACATAAAGTAATAAAACAGTGTTACAGAAACCTTCATACATTTTTCACTGTTTTACAGTTTATCTCGTTACAAACTTTAAATGCAATTAATTGTATTGCTTGTTTTTTATGTAACAGACAAAGTAATGCACAAATGTGAAGTTGAAGCAAGTTTATCTTTTTTTTTTTTTTTTTTCAACAAATACAAACCTAATGTTTGGTGTGCTACTTTTTCTAGCCCACAGAACATTTCACCATAATTCTGTAATTATTGCAATTTGGAAATTTTGGTATTTTTCCACCCACTATTATCATCTAGAGAAAATAAATCCAGATCAGACAGGTTAAGCCAAATTGAACAGTGTGAATTGAATAAATGGATTTGATGCAGACAGTTTAAGAGCATCAAGTTTAAAGTCTTACTATGATTCTCAGATGGATTTACAGTAGGTCTAGGATTTGACTGGATGATTCTAACACATGAATGTAAAATAAAAACATGTATATTTAGCGTTACTGTCCTGTTGAAAGGTTTTAAGTCATTTCCCTTTCAGATTAATTAACAACTTTTAATCAACTCAGACCAATGTCTCTTGTCCTGCCAAAGAAAAATCTTCTGACACGTTTACCCTGTCCCAAAATGCTTCAATATGGGGACTGTGGTTCATATCATTTCCTGACCAACAAAACAACAAATAATTAAGCCATACTTTACTTACAGCTTCAACCAGGCTGTTAGCGCTGCCTCTCTTTTGCAGGAAGTGCGAGCGGCTCTCTGTGGGTAGCTGCAGCCGTGACGGTGAGTGGCTGAGGCTGGGCATACTATCTTGGCCATCGGTGTACC